CTGATCACAAATTTTGCAGTGCTAACGAGAGTCGGGCCATGAGTTCTGAAGAGATCTTAGTTTAACTTAATTAGGAGAATGGTTTATTTTTTATGAGATCTCAAGTAACGTAGAATCGAAGATAAGCTGAATCTTGGCTAACTGGACTTTGTAAACACAGAAACCTAGATGGATACAGATTCTCGGAACAAATTTTTTTCTAAGGAGGCATAAAGATTGATTTCAGTTATTGGAGAGAATAGATTAAAAGGCTGCTGGAGAAAAAAGATGACTGAAGATAAAAACTTGGTGATAGAATGTCGTAGATATAAATGTGCCAGCTGACCTCCACAATCAGATTTCCTCAGAAGCTGGACAAATGAGTGTGGTAAGAAATGAAATAACTTGATAACTTGAAAAAAGGAGGATGATAATCACTTTGCAGACAAAAGTCTTATTGGTAAATGATCATCTCTGAAAAGCAAAAGGGGCAAAATATAGTCCTCTCAAAGCCATAACATACAAAGAGACTTGAATGTAAAAAAGAACTTCGAAGCCACTTCATGTGGTGCTATATATTAAAAGATCAAAAGGAATCAATGCAAATTTTTCAATACAATTACAAGTGAACTTGAATAAGCCACTCAAATCTTTGAGCAAATCAAAGTAGCAATAGAATAAAGCTATGATTGGGCGGCTAGGAGAAATCAAGCGGTAAGCACCTCGCTTCAAAGGGCAAAGCCACTCAAAAGTTTATGTGGTACTATTACTATTGTTATTGTTGTTGCGTTAACTGCCACGTGCTATTTTTATCGAATTTGAAATTCAAAATTAAAACAATTTCATCCACGGCACATCAATGTCTGGAAGATGGCAAACTGACAGGGAGCAGCTGGGGAGTTGGAACCGGCCCGCAGCCAAGGAATTTCGGAAACTTTTCAAAGCAATAAGCAGAAAAATAAGTTGTTGATGAGCGAGCAAGTAGAAGTTACGTTAAATCAACAATTGTGCTTTTCACAACGATTAGATGAGAGGGGAAGCGCGCTTGTGTATGTGTGCGAGGATGGGTGTGTGTTATGTGTGTAGGCACTTGCTTTCTGTCGTGCGAAACAAAAAGTTTAAGCAAGCAAATAAAAGAAGAAAAGAACTCAACAAAAACAATAATAAAACAACAGCAACCGACCGTTAACGGTGCTCTAATTTAATCTGATAAATTGCGATTTGATTTTAATTTGAAATTTCTGACAAGCTACAAGCGTTTGTCTAACAAATAGCTGCCTGATAGATACATGATTGTAAAACAAGTTGATAGAACATAGGTATTAAAAATTAAAAGGTACACACATAAGCACACATAAATACATACACACACATACATATGTATATGTTTGCTTCAATTTGATTGCTAGTCGATTTCTACTAAGTGGATGATTGGGCAAAAGAAAAATGATTGGCGTCGAAAATTTTGAGAGTTTGAAAAGTTTTGCTTTACAAATCAGGCATAGAAATCGGCGAGGATAGAGTAATCTAACGGCTGTTATGCACAATGCTCACTTTCATATCGTGATTTTAGCCATGGATAATTGCGTTCTGGATTAGGTCACTGAGCTGGAACGCAAGTTGGTGAGCAGAGGATTTTTATAATTTCTGCTATCTTCCGACGGACAAAATGCTGTAGGAATTTAATTTTGTTGCGGAATTTAATTGATTATAATTTTTGTGTTCTGCTTTTCGCTCAACGGTATTTAATGGTAATGTAATGCATGCCGAGTATACAGCTGGGAATGTTAAATTTGGTACTAAATTGTACTTTTAGACGCAGAAATATATAGTTCTGCAAAAGTCGGAACAAATTTTAAGTATTTGCAGGTGAAAAAAAATTAAAATCACCGATTCAAAAGCATTATTGGTAATCATTACTTTTTAAAATACTTTTAATTAGTTAAAATATTTACATAAAAAATAAATATAATAATATATTAATACATTTTTCGGATACTTAATATAATTAATTACATTTTTATTTACTTTTTATAAATAAATTTATGTTTTATTGGATAAAATGAATCAGGTTTTCATGTCTGTCAAAAAAAGGGCGTTTAGTAAATTTTGTCAAAATATAGGGTGTTAATATTTTATTATTATATATATAATTTATTATTCTTGACAAATTCAAAATCTTGCTTACTTATCAAAATTGACATTTTATCAAAATTTTTCTATCCTGTGTCTTAAACAATAAGTTCTTTTCTTCATAAATTGTCGCGACGTCAAATGCTTTTGACAGCGCTTCTTACAAAAGAAAAATTTGTTTTGCCTTTTGTGGATAGTTGTGAATGTCAATTGGTTAGAATGGCAGATATTTTGCTTTTATAGTTTTCGTTAAACAAAGAAGAAAATTGCGAAAACAGGCGTGACGTTTGTGCTAAATTTTTGTGGAGTGATAATACGTTAATGCGAATTTGTAGTCACTCTCTTCTTCTCTTTAATGATAAACTGCCCCTACATGCTAACCAAAAAACCTCACTGCCTCTGCATATAAGTATACGCTCGGCTCATACCAAAAAGTATAGGGTACAACAAACAAGCATAAAAAAGCTGTTTCTGTTTTCATTATTTTGCCACCATACGTGTGGGGAAAAATGCTGCGTACTAAAGCTTTACGGTTTATCAATACAGCCACAGAATAACAAAGCGCTTTCGACTTGATAAAAATCTTAGTTTTGAATATTTGCTTACTCTGTCAAGTGCACAGAAAAGAGGTGTAGATAAAAATTTTAAAATTATTTTATTAACACTGATTTAATAAGGTACTTTTCTCTAATTTGATTTATATAAATTTGATTTCGTTGAAAAAACATCATTTGACAATTTTCTTGAGATAAGCTCTTTTTCATGACAAATGAAAGCTAGTTGCAATACAACTTAATATATAAAAATCGATGTACCATATATAAAGAAATTATAACTGATAAGAAATGAAATAAAAAAACCAAAGGCAGCCTTAAAATTTACACTTTCAAAGGTTTAAAGTTTTATTCTGTGAAACTGATAAGAATAACAAAAACATAGGAATTAAATGATATGAAATATTTTTATAAAGGTTTAAAAATGTATTGTTTTTTATTTAACTGATATGTTTAAAAAAGTTTTTAAGATCTTTAAGATTTTAATTACTAAAAATTTTTAAGATAAATTAAATAAAACACTTTGGTTGTCAAAAATTAGATGTTTATAAACTTGTCAATAATCTGCAGAAGATACTAAATTTTTATCACATAATAATATATTTTATGAAAAAAAAGAATGAATGCACAAAAAGCAAGAAAAATTTTGACTTCGACCGCACCAAAGCTATAATACTCTTTACAGACTAATGTTTTTGGCATAAAAGGGTATAAAAAGATTTTTATCCTGATTGTAATCAGTCAGGTTGTATGGTAGTAAAAATGGCAACAGTGGCCCGGCCTAAACAATTTATTCGAATATTAAAGCGTTGTCTTGGGTAATAGTCTGTGCCAAATTTCGTGAAGATATCTTAACAATCAAAAAAGTTTCACATACAAGTACAAGAACTTGATTTTGTTTCTTTAGTTTGTATGGCAACAAGTAATTATTATTGACTCTAAACCATATAACTGTATATAAGCATGTGGCAACCCTATGAAAAACAAGTATCACTAAAATACTAATTTCATATTTGAAACAAGCTTCAAACGCTAACACATTAAACATCTATTCTCCATAAAAATCCGTTCAAATATTTTCGCTCAAATATTTACCAAATATTTAGTTTGTTCTCTTACTACCACAGCCTTATCGGCCTACAGAAAATCTAACAACAGCAAACGCAAACGACCTTAAAAATTCTCCCACTTCAAGTATTGACTTTTTTCATTTCGTGCTTATGCTTATATTTTGGCTACACACGTTTCGATTTGCCATTTACCGCTATTAGCGCAAGCATTGATTTGACGGCGCCATAAAAAGTGTTGTCGATGGCAATAAGCGCAATATGTTGTCTACAAGATGGCTCGAAATACGAAGTTGTAAAATTGTAAGGCAAAAGAGAAAAAAAAAAATTAAATTGATAAAAAATACCTATACCAGCGTTTCAACTGTCGGCAGCCGTAATGTATGCTATATTTTTTGTTCATTGTCAACAATTTTACTTCGCATGGCAGTTGGTGCGCTTAAAAAATGCTGCTGTCATCAAACCTACGTTTACGCCCTCGCAGCTTCTCCTACCCCACCGTGTTTGCTCGCGCCTACACCCACTCACACCCCTGCCAAGCATTTCGCTACATATATTCTGGCCGCTTGCGTCATTTCGCCGTTATCTAAGCGCTCGCTTTTGGTGGGGCTGATTTTTTTATGTATAAACATGTACTTTTTATGCATTGTTGTTGTTGTCTAACTACTCAAACGCACTTTTTGTCAATTTTTTGCCATTTCCCTATTTGGCGAATTTTGCATGGGCAATTTCACGCATTGGCGCTAATTTGCTTATAACTTGCGATTTTTACGCGTGTGAGGTGTTCAGCATAGTGGGGGACTTATGTATACTCACATATATAGAAATATACGCATATGTATAATTTTCTGTATGAAGCGAGTGCCTTGAGTCGGCTGGAAGGGAATATTTGTTAAAGGCCATTTTCGAATATGAATATCTGAAACCATTTTGTTATAGTAGAAATTGAATATTTATAATGTCGTTAAAGGTTCAAAGAAGGGGACTTGGGCGATTAATGTGTGGAGACAAGTTGAGTGAGAGCAGCACTCTTTTATATGTTCACCATCCTTTGCCAACATAATAGAATCTTTTCCAGATATATATGTATTTGCGTATTTATAAATGTATGTATGGATGTGTGTGTAAATATTTACTTTACTACCCTTGTTTGTATTTACTGCCATACCCTTTAGAAAAAAATAAAAATTTCGCCCTTGTGTCCTTCAGTGTCCCACACACACACAAACTTTTTTATAGTAAAAATTACATTTCATCTTCTACTTACATCGCACACTCAAATAATAGCCAATCGATGAGTATTGGAAGTTCAAATGTCGTGACGTGCATTTATACCAGCCGGAGTGTTCGTGACGTATCGATGTGAAATTCAGGAAACCATCACCAGTTTGTGGAACCTGTATGAAGAGGGAAAAGCAAAATATTTGTTTAATTTGCATGTTGGTTGGCCAAATAAAAAGAAAAAAAAAGTAAAAAAGGAAAGAAATGCGAAGTTTATAGAAAAATGTAAAAATGTTACTAAATACATGTGTACATATGTATGTACATGTAATAGTTTATGGTATTTAAAAATGAATACAAATGTATATCGTTTGCTTTTTAATCAAATATTTCAACTGCTATTTAAAAAATGCAAAAGTATAATGTAATTAATATAAAAAAAAAGTTTAAAAATTTCGACTACCTTTTCTACTTCTGTTTTTAAAAATCATTTAATTAACTTTTCTTTTCACACTATATTAAAAATATAAACAAAATACTACACAAAAATTTTAATTACTTTTTCTACTACTATTTTTATGGCCTCAACCTTTTCAATTCTACCCGCTAAAATATATAAAATACATTTATCTCCTCATTTTAGATTTAATGTTATTTTATTTATAAATTATATAATATGTATGACAGCTCTTGGCGGACATGTTTGTTTAGGAATTTATGTCAAATTTTGACAGTGTGTTCAATAACATTTGACATTGCATCATGTCAAGTTTTACATTGGTGCAAAGTTTATAAATTGTCCAACATTATTTAGCAAATTCACTTTCTCCGGTGGCTACTGTTTATCGAAAAATCATCTTAACTTGCCGCTATTGGGGTGAATAAAATGTTCGGGTGGTTCAGAAAAAGCAATTGTATTCCAAACAAATTGGCCATTTGGATTGTGGTATGGAAACATAAAAGGGCCTTATTTCGTTCGAAATGAGGCAGAAAATGTCGTTACATTCAATAGCGAGCGTTATAACGCGATATTGACCGCCTATTTTTCCCCGATATCGACTCGTTAATTTCACCATGATCAAGCGATTAAACTCCTCTAGATTATCTTCTCTGGGTGTATGTTAAATCAACCAACAACACTCAAGGAGCTCGAGGAAGGCAGTTACTACTGTACTTTTATTTCCCCCTGCGGGTAGGGGTAAGAATTTACCCGCGGTAAGGCATGCCTGTCGTAAAAGGCGACTAAAAGCCAAATGCACTATGACTGTCAATTTACTTTGCCCAGAATTATCAGCATAGTAAATGATGTCAGAAATAGTGCTATAATACTCAGCTTGAACTGATATTATAGACTTTAAATGAAATCCCAAATAAAAAGACATTTGAAGTTCAAGCGACAAATGTCACCAGTCATTGAGTAATGGGTTGCTCAACTGGCAGTAGTTTCGGCTACACAGTCTTACCGGAGACTTTCTGGTACTACGGGGAGCAGAATGCCCTTGGACTTCGGTCCAATCTGCTTATTGGGTTATGGCCATTTTGGGGAGATTCGTGGTGGCTGTGGTTGAAACCTAAATGCAGGAAGAACTGAAAATTCAGCCTAACTGTTTTTCAGTTCTAAAAAGAAGTTGCAAAAAGCAACTGAGTTCCGTACCCGAAAACGGAAGAGGTTTTAGGTCGGCCTCGAATCTTACCAAGATGGTAGTGTGAGCACAGACACACTGCCACTGGTAACCAAATTAATACTTGCAAATAGCTCGTATTATTTGGGGCGCTTATCAACACATTGTATTGATACGTTGTGCTTTGGAGCACTGTGAGGTAAGGCCGTCGCCGGCAGGTACTCACGTAAATCAACAACGAAAGTTGTACTTTTATTATCCTTCAACTGAAACAAATTCAAAATAAAGTATGCTACTTTTTAAAAAAATATTTTATTTCTTATTCTACTACACTTTTTTTACTCATAATAGAATTACCTCTGATTAATGCCGTTTTTATATCATTCCCTAATCCAGGCATCTTCCATTTGAATTACATTTTAAGTTGACTTAAAACTACAAAATTATTTGAAAAACTCTCAAAACTTCTACACAAGTGCACTCAAAAACTAAAATAACAGTTTCAACTAACCAAAACTAAAATATAAATACAAGCTAAGATAACAGACAGCCCACAAACAAGTAAAACCAACTGACTACAAATACAATGACAAAAGTGGAAAAGCAAATTTGTCGCTTAAATCAGGAATTGTTTATAGTCGGCTGTCGGCTGAATTTTGGGTTCACTCCTCGGACTTTTTTTTGTTGTTTTGTCGAAAAAAATTCCATGTTATTTAACTTTACCGCAAAGTACAAAAACTATCAGAGTAGAGAGGCTGAGTAGGCACATATGTAATCACATATAAACATACATAAGTGTGGGTAGATTTAGCCATATGTGCGTGTACTTAGGAGGAAATTTGGAAATTTGCATATTTTGTATAAACACTTGTAGTATTTGCTCGTACTTATCTATGTGTGTATATGTGTGCATACATTCGATGGCGAATGCCCGAAAAGATGAAGGGATAAATTGTGTATATTAGGGATGCTAGCGTTATAGTAGAAAGTGGTAGTTACTATTTGTCTTTCGGCATGGGGAGTAGACGAAGTCTCTTATTTGAGGACATATTTATATGGATACACTAATGTGGATGTTGTTGTGGAAGATGGTGGTGGTGTAAATTATCAAAATTTTGGGTAGACTTTGTACAAGTGAGTAAACTCATATATTATATATATACAAATATACAGAGATATGGTGGCATGGCTAAGTATATATACACAAATTTAACGGTTATTGACCGCCATGTCTACTCTTATTTGAAAATTTTTATTGCGAACTTTTGGTAAAAAGGGCGGAAATCACCGAATGTATTTGAATATTGTGAAATATAGCAATAAAGATAGCGATTTGATTGGATATCCCTTAATACAAGTACAAACATGCACAACGCAAAAACAATTTTTGGCAAAAAAAAGCTTTTTCTGCAGACGATTGACGTCACTACTACATATGCGTGCATTGAATAGTCGGCGCTAAGCTTACTCTATGAACCTGTAGCAACAAAAACAATAAAAAACGTTTTGAATAATTTCTTCGGAGATAACGCCAATGCCTTAGACAATTATTCGTGCCAAATTTCTTAAAGATATCTCGTCGAATGAAAAAGCACTTGATTCCGATCGTTCAGTGGTCCGATATCGGCATTAAAATCAAGTTCTTGTATGAAAAACTTCTTGCGTTTTGACGAAATATCTCATAAATCTTCACGAAATATGGCATGGATTATTTATTTTAACGCCTGTAATCTTTACGCTAATATATTAAAGAAACTATTTTAATTGTACAAACATAAATGCATGGTCTACTTACCGGCGTGTCACCATCGTCCTTCTGCCAACGAGGCGTGCTCGGCGGATTTGAGTCAACATCGCATTTCAGCGAAACTTCTATGCCTTCGCGCAGTGGATAGCCGAAACCGGGTGTGCGTGAAATGGCGAACGAAGGTGTGTCTGTGGAAAGGCAAAAGGAAAGGAAATTTATACTAACGTATGTTGGTGTGTAAGTAACAAGGGCTGCGGCAATAATATTAAGATGTAAAATTCAAATAACTACACGGGTAGACGTGAATGCGATAGAAAATAGTAGTTAAGACATTAAGGTAGAAGTGAAAGCAAACTTTCATCGAAAAGCGCTGCATACAGTTAGGCGTTGTAAGTTCGCCTGCCAGCCGCTGTGTGGCTGTTTTTGGTCTTTTCGGTAGGTGTTGCCGTTAGTTGGCGCACACACGATGCGACTTTGCACCGTTTTGTCGCTTTTTAATTAAAAACTTTATTATTATTATTGTCACACACACGCATAGTTACATTGCTGCCGAAAAACTTTTATAATTAAAGTAAATGTAAATGCAGCGCGTGTTTAGCGCACAAAAAAACAAATACAGCGCAAAAACGCTGGTAAATACAAATACAAATGGAAAATCAAATAACAACAACAACAGTTGAAATCAGCGCGACAAAAGTTGTCTCCTCAACAATTTGCTTGAAGTTGTATTGTAAATTTTGGCCATAATGTCATCTCTCTGCACCAGAATGAGTGCGTGCCAACGTGTATGTGTATGCCGGATATCCGCCTACCGAAAAGTTCTATCGTAGTTGTTTTTGTGGCACTCATGTAATCGTTTCGCAAGCGTTCACTTTTGTGGGGCAGAGCGGAGCATTTCGGCACGACTGACAGAGCAAAGGTGCAGTCAAGTGGAAGGGTATAGAAATTAAATGAAATTGGTGTGATTACGAAGTTATAAATTCTTGTATTTTATGGATGATTATGAAATGAGTTTTGTTCGGAGTTACAACAAAATGGAATCTACTCGTCGCTAGTTAATGACAATGGCGTCAAGTTTTGACTTGGAAGTGACAGGAGATTGTGACACATCTGAATATTAGTTTCTTTAACTAAAGTCGAAGGCTCAGAATAAATACTTCAAGGCTTAGTGGACTTATTATCGAACTTTGATGCTACCTTTTGCTTTTGGAAGTTAAAATTTTTTACCGACTGAAATGGGTAAAATTAGCCCGAGTTCATATTTTTAAAGGATGCCTAACCAAACTTTAGCCCAACAACTTGAAACCTTCCTCTAGAGAAAATAAAATCTCTTAGTGATCCGCTCATTTAAAAATTTCAAGAATACACTTTCAACACACACTGAGGGCTTCACAAATTTTCACCATATCTGGAGCGAAACTGTCAGAAGAGATTACTAACAAGAAAAAACGCTTACTTCGGTTGAACGCTTACTTCTCGAAGCTATAATACCCTTCACAAATAACAAAGTTTCAATACAAGTTAGGTAAGTTTGAATGGCAGCTATATGCTATATCCGATCTAAACAATTTTTTCGCAGGTTGTACCGTTGCCCTAAACAATAATCCATGTCCAATTTGGTGAAGAAATTTCGTGAAATAAAAAAAACGTCCTCACAAAAAATTTATTTTGTTTGTTTAGTTTGTATGACAGCTACATGGTATAGTTGTTCGATATCGATTCCGATAAATAAGCAGCTTCTTGGAGAGAAAAAGACATGTGCAAAATTTCAGATCGATATCTCAAAAACTGAGAGACTAGTCGCGTATATGCAGACGGACAGACGGAAAGGGCTAAATCAACTCAACACGTCCCGCTGAACATTTATATATAATATATATATTTTATGGAGTCTCGGATATTTCCTTTTGGGCGTTACAAACATCGTGGTAAACTTAGTATATCCTATTCAGAGTTTAATAAAAATGTCACTTTGTGAAGTATGCAACTTCATAATGCCATTCCCATAAAAATCCTCGTTCCTGTTAGCAAAAACTTAACAAACTAAAAACCGCGCAGCTAAGCTCTCGCTGCTTCTGGCAAGTGACTATCGATAGAAAACAACTCCTAATTTATAAATCATACCAGTCTGAATTTCGGGTTAAGTCCGTAGTCTCAGTCATACAAATAAGTTGTGTGGTGGGGTGTGAACTTCCAAGTTAAGAGAGTTTAAAATATAGTTACTACTTAGATAGAAGCATAGAGTCAATACCAGTGTTTGGTATGGCTTATTTAGTTGTTTAGTATAATTTATATCGGAATGTATGTTAGAAATAGTTTGAGAATCATTGTTGCAGTTTTATACTTAGATATACCTTCAAAATATTAATTTTCAAGAGACTATTCATGATTTAAGGCTTCTGTCGAGTCAATTTGGTGAATTACTTTTCTTGAAAAAAAATTCTATAGAGAACAGAGAACGACCTCTCTGTAGTATTAAAATTGAGATAATGCCTTACTTTTTGTTATTTTGAATAACTTTCTGTTTTCAACTAATATTTGGAATAAGTCCCATATATCCAAATATTTGGATTGACCCTTTTCAATTCATTCATTAATTCTCTTAATCATCTCTAATCCAAAGGCTAGTCTGACTATTAGAGATAGTATTTTAGCAGCCACTTAACTCTTCCTATATCACTAATCAGATACTTGACGACCCTGCAACTGTTACTGTGCTTACTGTTTACTGCTTACTAGCACCTATAAAAACTACCTCTTCAATTTCCATTATCAAACAGCACTCACTACTTTGTAAGCTATAACATAACAATAGGGCCTTGTGTTGCACGCTAATGAGAGTTTAATAACTTTGCCACTTGCAACTTTTAAAGTCACTTGACTTTTCTTACAGATTTTTGTCACATTCTCAGTGACACATTCTGAATAAACTGTGACTTGCGTGGAGCCTGTCGATGATGTGAGAAGTTTACTTGCTATTATATGTTGCAAGTCGTCTTATGTGTCAAACTTGTTTTTATTTTCAGGGAAAAATGTGCTGGAGAAAAGTAGCAAATTGCTTTTAAAGTCACTTTTGTGAATATTTTAGTGTGGGAACTGTTGTGAGCACAAGTGCACATAAGTAGATGTGAGAATAACGGTATCATTAGCAGGCTTTTTTGCACATTTTCCGCTAGAGTTCGTTTACTTAAGACTTAAAGATTAGAGCTTCACAGAAAAAAGAACTCATTTCTTTTTGATAAAGCCTGATGTCGTTAAGTAGTACAAATTTTGGTTTTTTGTGTCGAAGAAAACCAAATAAGAATTTAGATATTTTTTAACACAAAAGAACATTAGCAGTTAAATTATTACAAACTGTTATATAATATAATATATTAAGTAAGCTTAACGCTTTTTGAAGAAAGCGCATTTATACCATTATATTAACAAGTTTTGCAATGTAAAAGCTAAAAGCTAATCAAATTTAATTATAATTAAAAGCTAAAGATTGTGGTAATAGTTGTACACGTAAAAAAATTGTTACCTAAATATATATAAGTAGATGTTATTTACATTTTCGAAAAGCTCTTATACTCTTTCAAGGCTTGTAGATAATGATCATATAATGACTTAGAAATATAATCTCATAAACACTTATGTATTTTGAAAAAATATACTATTGGTATATTTAACGAGCTTAAAGCTCCAGAACAAGTTGAGACATTTTTATAAAGCGTGGACTGTAAAACTGGCTAGCATTCTGCCGTAAAATGTCCATTAAATACTATAACAGACTAAAAGATTTGGTTCAAAATTTTTAGCTTTTGAAGCCATAAGCCTAGAGCTCAGAAAGGAAAGATATTTTCTAAGTTCTAGTTCTTTTTATATATTTTTGCGTGAGAACAAACACTTTAACTCGAGATTTGACATTAATAAAGCAACTAAGCCACTAGAAAACTTGTCTTTTCATTTACTTTTGTAGCTCCTGAATAGATTTTGCGTGTTTTTTTTTAATAATTATGGTATTTCTGTCATGTCAATAGTAGAATTGATATTGTTTTAGTGAAAGCTCCCAAGTGCCATTTTTTTAGTTCTACATCTGTATTTTCGTTTTATCTAATGTTTGGAATCACTCCTTAGCAAATGTTTGCAACGTAGCCACAATTTAGATTTCGATGAAAGCTCTTTAAGTTCACTTTAGTCATTGAATTTATTTCTGTGTAAATTTTCAGTACTGAGAGTGTTACATTTTCAGTATTTTTTTTGTTTTTTTTTTTTGGAACGAAATACCAATCACCTGGCAGTGTTTGCGCCTAAAAATATGCCACAAACAAAAGAACTTTAGCTATTTCAAGTTTTCAAAAATGCATGCTTCTCTTCATCAATGCTTAACAACCCATTTTTAGTTGGCCCTCTCTCTACCCTTCTACTTACATTGCACATCGAGCAGCAGTGATGCATTTTGGCGTATCTTCAACGTCGGATGCTCCATGACGCACAGAATGCGAGCATTGTGATGGGCACGGTAGACAGCAGGCAAGCGGGCTTCACTTTTCGCGCCGCCATTGATTTTGTATGCGTTTTTATCCTGAAAAGAGAAGAGCACAAAAAGTAGCATAAAAACGGTGAGTAGTGCAAAGATAAACAAAGTACCGAAAAACAAAGAGAACCATAACACAAACACACACACTCACGTGTACTTGCGAGAATGCAGGCAGTGGCATGTGTGAAAATACTTTTGGTGTTGGGCAAAAATTTTCGGAAACATTTCGTATGCAGTAAAAACATTTACATAAAACACACTGAGGCCACCTACTTTGCCCACCTTGCACCCCCGGCTCGGGCCACCGCCCTGCTTTGGACTAACATTTGAGGTGTTTGCAAAATCGACATACTCTCCAGCACACATACTCATGCATTGCATTACTATGGTGCCACATGTGCATGCCACACACATCCCCGTACGCACGCTCTAAAACCAGGCACATTGCAAAATGCCAGTGTTGCATTTTGAAGGCGAATTCCTGTAAAGCCACATGAAAATGCAACTAAAAAAGGAAGTACAAAAAAAAAATAGTAAAGATCAGTGAGAGCGTGTGGGAAGCTGAATTTTCTGGCGTGGTGATGGGCGCAATGTTGTGGCACCAAATGAAAATAAATGACAGCGTTGAAATACTTTTGGCAACAATGTTGTATTTTTTATGTTACAGGTTGGTGTGTGGTCTTTTGAGAGCTGTTGGTATGGAAATTTGACAAAAGCCTAGCAAGAGGCGTGAAAGTGTGCCGCTTAATGTCAGACGAATATTTTTTTCACAGCATGTAAATAAATTATGGCACCGTGAGGAATGAGAGTAAAGTGAAAGCGAATGGTGGTGAGCGAGTGCAATAGGGTATTAAGTGAACGGTGGCGTTCATTGGGTGCGGAATACAGAAAGTAAAGGAATATGTGCATGTTAGGTACTAAAAGTCGCTCAACATATAAATTCAAAAACGTGCGTAAAATATTTCGTGCGCTGAAATGCGCTGAATTTAGCTGAATAGCGCCGTGTCGACCCCAAAGCTGCTTTGATAAGCATTAAGAGTAAGCTGAATTAAGCCGAGGCGCGCTGAATGATATAAATTGCCAATAACTAGTAATTTTATTGAATAAACATAAATATTTACCAAACAAATAAAATTTAAAACATAAAGTTTTATATAACTGCCTATCTTAGATATTTGAACTCTGGGAAATAGAAAGTTTTACTAAAAGTAGCTCAATATTAATTTCAAAGATGTTCGAAGAATGTTTCGTGCGCTTAATTGCACTGAATTTAGCTGAATAGCGGCATGTCGTAAGAAAGACTGTTCCGGCAAGCATTAAGACTATGTTGAATAAAACCTAGGCGCGCTGAATGATATAAATTGCCTATAACTTGTATTTTTATTTAATAAACAGAAATATTTAGCGATGAAATGAAATTGTACAAAATATAATATTATATAATTGGCTATTTAGTTTAGTTATTTACGCGATGTAAATTAAAGATTCCCGAAATAAGGAGGCTTATATACTGTTTCCTGATTCCTTTAGAGAGGGTAGCTATTTTTATTTAGTTGAATTTTAGATAAGCTATCTACCGAAACATGTAAAAATCGAAACATTTTGCATTGACAATGCTTCCAATTTTACCAACCAACGTCAAGTCAGAGTTCCTCCCATTGAATAGGTAGACACTGTGAGACCAATTCAGCCAACTTTACCGCATTTTGGCAGATTTATGAAACAGGATAATGTGAAAATTAGTGTTTTTTTCAACAATATATTTTAAAGAGAATTAGTCTGAAAAAAATGTATTAGATGTATGCGCATCATGTGTACTTTGTGAGTGGAAAAGTATATTTCGGCACTACATAGAATTTAATACGGCTTAAAACTCTATTGTAGTTTTTTGTCCTCACTCTGGTTTCTGTCAAAATTAGAGCGCTTAATTGAAAATATCTGTACTGAATAGAGCTGCATAGCTTTATATTTTTAAATTGTGCACACTTTTTATTAACTGTAATTAGCCGCTGAATTTCATTTATTGCAGCTCAATTAAGCAGCTTTCATATATAAGCCATTCATTTTTCTTATTTCTACTCAGTTACAGTGGTTAGTATTAAAATATATATAAACAATTTTATTTTAATTTTACAGCTATGTTAAGATAAACACTTTAATTTAACTAAACAATTGAATTGAAAGTAATAAGGTTTCACTGCTTAGCTTATAAAATATATTATGTAACGTTAGGATATATTTAAGTTTCTGTTTGTGTTTTTGTTTTAGAGTATTTGTGGTTGTAGAACGACATTGTACACGTTGATTCACCACAATGAATTTTCATTAGTTAAATTCACCAAACTACAACCGCAACCAAACAATTTGCGAAAAACATACATTCAATTATATTAAAGAATATACTATAAATAGTGAGGGCGGAGAGATTCTCCTAACATCGGTTGCAAATTGAACGCAGTGAAGTTGTTACAAAAGGGTCCATGTGGCTTGCATCATATACTCGAGCATGTTTTAGGTTACGGAAAGAGTGGGATTGGTAATTGACTGAGTGAAAATGAAAGGTAGTTTGAGTTTGAGTCGGTCTTGTGTGCGTTTAATAAAAAAAACCTTGGGATTGGTAGAAGCCATACGATAGAATAGTCGACTAACTGATCAAACAAGATATATTGCTTTGAGTCGACTAGTGCAGCACTGAAAATAAGCCTTGCAAATATGAGCGAACACAATGTAGTTTGAGTTATTTTAAAGTTGAGTAGCCCTCATCTAATTATATCGAAAAATAAAACATTAATCGGGAAGTAGAAGCCAAAAACTATGCACGACCGATAGTTAACTTTTCGGAGTAATTTTTTTCTTTTCATATTAAGCTATCTGTGGTGAACTTCTAGCTTGGTTGCTTCTTAGAATGGAAGATGAGCGAATAACCTCGTATTGAAAAAGGCTTTATTAGTTCAAATCGAAAATAAGTACGAAGAGTTCAACCCAATAATCCAGCATTATTTTTTAGTATTTTTCATCAAAATGGTGTCTATGTTTTACGAGAATTCTCATTAGGAGCAGTTTCATTTACAAAACATATGTCTTACTAGTACCGAAAAGCGTCGTCGATATTGACGCCGCTTAGATAGAGTACTACAGAGCTCCTTGCGTTATAATAAGATGTTACTTCATGTTTCCTTCTAATTTTTTGAGATTCTACTTCTCTTATGAGCACTTTTGAGAATCTAATTCTTACAATTTAAGTCTTCATATTTATTAAATCATTAAAGGACTGAGATGATTCGCTAAGATAGCATAGACGAGCAGATCTATAACTGCAAATATCTATCAAAATATTCGAATATCTGGCAGCTCTTTTCACAGGAACTATTTGGAACTATCAGTATTTACAAAAATTATGAATTTATGAAGAGAAGTCCAGCTCTGATTATTTTAGATCAAAAAAATCTACTCGGGAATTGCTATTGACAACGAAATGGCCTACGGTTGAGATCGTCATGGCGACTTCTTCGGTATGTGAATCTAGTACATCACTGATTAAACGATTAGAAAGGACAGGAAATACAAATTTAATAAGGGAGTAAGTGAAAGTAAAAATTATCGGTTCAGTTACCTTTAGGTACATGTAAGAAATTTGTTGAGCGTGTGCGTAATTGTTTACGACACTGAAATTCCAAAAATAATAATCTTAGAATTATAGAAATGTGCGCTGTTGTACATATACATGTATATATTACCAATTGATAAATTCATTGAACTTGCTTGAGTTTTAATTTGAGCAACATGTGCACTGAGGAGACAATGTTTGTCCAGACAGCGTCGTTGCCACAGATTTGTGGCCAAGTATGCCAAATGATTTGTTTTACATAGAAAAACATTGCTAACTGGCAGTAACAAGTGGCGCGAAACACTAAGACATATTGTGTATGTCTAACTGTATATATACATATTTAATTGACTGTATCAACGGCAAAAGTGTGCGTTAATGGAAAAATAATGAAGTGGCAAGCCATGAAAACTAATAAATTAATATTCAAGCAAGTGGAAATTAGAGAAAGAAAAGTAATAAATTTCTAATTAGACATATTAAACGGGAATAAACTATGCTCATAGAATTTTAGTTAGTAGAAATATTTTCCCCATACACCAGCTTGCCATATACTTTGGCTCAATTAAAAGTTTTCTAACAATAATTAAATGAAATATAAGCGAAATATGCTATAAAGAGGTCATTGGTGTACAAGCTTATAAAACTTAGAGGATAATGAAAACAACAAGCACAAAGTCAGCGGTTAGCTGAATAAAAAAATATGTACAAACATATGACTACCTATATGTATGTATATTAGAATCAAACTTTTGCTTACTCTCTATGAAACTATGAACTTATCACTTTCATTCACTAAAAAATTACAGCTCTCATATGTTGCACGTTTCCTTTTAGGATCCTTCGGCGCCAAGCGATATATAAAACACTATGCAAATTAGTCACTTTATATAGTCATTTATGCATACAACCAAGCGACGCATACTTGAATAACCGCATATATACTAATGTAAATATACATATGACTTTACTTTATTATTTATATTATATATTTATACAAAGCCATACGGATATGTAGAAGTCGAATATGCCACATACAAGGTCGACCGCCAGCTTCGTTCACTAAATATTTGTATGTATCTAAGCCCCCCAGTACGTGCACTTTCATTTATGAGTTAACCCTTTATGTGCTGCGGTGACGTCCATTCAACTCTGCTTGGCTCTTGTCCATTCAACTGTATATCAGCTTGAATATGGGCATGGTGGCTTGTAAAACTCAAATTTTATGTGGATGTGTTTTTGAAAAGTTATGTGCAAATAAATATGGATCAAAAAGGCATGCCGGAACTTTTTCTGTAAATGTAAAAATAAACATTCAGCTTAATCTATACCAATTCAGCAGATCAATTAACGATAGAAGAAATTCACATTTAAGGCATGCTATTATAATTTACTTATTTAAAGCTATTCAGCCACAAATAAATTAATTCAGCGCATATTTGTACACATTGCTTATGATAAGAGTCTTATAATTTCTTTGTTTGCTAAAGTTTTACTTGCAATAAGATAAATTTAATGAATTTTTTAATTCAGCCCCTATTATCTGCATTCGACAGAAAGCATTAAGCTAATGCAAGTTTATTTGGAGCTATTTCAGCTCACATTCGCATTACATTTTTGAATTGTTTTAATCAAAAATTGTTTTAAATTACTGTATTACATCTATATAAATTTATTCAGCACCTTGAAATATACAAATTTTAGCTTTGCTCGAATTCAGCAAATTTGTTTAACTGTGTAATGCATTTATTACTACAATAGAATATTATCATTGCATCAATTTACATATTTAAAAACTCGGATAATAATTCAGTTAACCAATAAAAAAAAATATTTAGTAGCAAATTAAAAATACATTTTTCATATTCAGTAGTGGTAGTGATAAATAAAATGCATAAGATTTCCAATTTAATGCCAATTCAGCACCAAAAAAGAGCATTCAGCGCACCGCTTCTTTATCCCAATTCAAAAACTCGGCTTATAACAATAAGTTAACATAAGAGTTAACCTATTAATAAGAATACTCAGCAGATTTGGTACACAATTGTCATATGCAATAGTTCTAATGACAAATGAAATGCATATGATTTAAAGTTTAATTCCAATTCAGCACCATAAAAAGTATTTAGTGCGGTATTTTTATATAATTTTGTACATAAAAGTTGATTTAAGACTAAATTTTGAACACCTTCAAAAACGATTTTTTTAATAATATTCCACAACTTTTTAAGATATATTTTCTACATGGTTTGCAATAAAATATATATGTATGTACATTTATGTATTTACCACATTTATATCCAAATGTGTATGTGTGTTTATGTTATGTAAGATATACACACATATCGCCGCCCAGCTCGGTATTTATATTGCTGTATTATAAAATAAATAAAACCATAACCAGTCAGCCATTGAATCCGCACTAACTGGGACATAGTGGACATAAACATTTTCTCGAAAATTTGTTACATTTACATGGCAAATTAAAGTTGATAACATATGTTAACACAAATCTGCTGTAAAATGGAAATTCTTGCTAACCCACAGCTACACGGAGTAATAAGATCCCGGACATGATAGTTTATGGCATAGGCGCGCATATACACACACAGTTATGCAAATGCTTATGTGTCGGTGTAAGTATAAGTAATGGACATCCACCATATTTATTGACATGCCATGCGTCCATATATTCATCAACTGCTTTCAGTAACGTCAACTAGCAAATAATTCGCATCATCCGACGACTTCGGCTACGATGCTTCTACACACCCACATATACACACAGAAGTAAGTAATTTTGAATTTATATAGAAGTTTGTACACAATCATCTTCATTTCAGCTTTTTGCATGCGTTTAGTGAGCGCAAGTGCTGTTGCAATTTGCCATCCGGTCGTAAGTTGCAAGTATATACAATCTCTGGTGCGATTGTTAGTTCATTCAACTGCTGTATTGCCACTTAGTTGTTGGCAATTAAAATTTCAACTTTTACAACGAAATTGTATGATTTTTTGCGTATTCAAGACGCTAACAAAAGCAACAATTGGGAGCATGTAATTTGAAGTAGTCTGTTCTAATATAGCGTAGACTGTTGGGGGCGCCCTTGCGTATAAGCGAAGAGGAGTATATGAAAGGCTTATGCAAATACGAGCATAATATATAATACGGCGGTAGCAATAAAATATGTCTTGTTGATATAAGAGTATACGAAACTATATGTATATGCGTATTAATGTATACGTATGTATATACAAAAGCTTAATTTAAAAAGTTTATCACTGGCGAACTTTTGTAAGTGTTAATTCCTTAACTGAATTTAATAGAATAAGTATTAAAGTTTAGAAAGAAAATTTGCAAATAAGTAATAATTCAACGCACACTAACCACAGGTTTTGCGCTCTTCGTCGAAACCATTTTTGTAGAAAAAAAAAGTTCAATTCAATGCAAGAAAACGTAATTCAGCACAACTTTAATTGGTTAATATACTCGTATTATTTATGCAAATTCAGTCCTTTAAACATTAATTCAGCACCTGTTTTTCATGTGTAATTTTGCAGATTTTAATTTACTTTGCTAATTTAAATTACTTTACTACTTCGAATTTAACTCGCTATGGAATGGAGGGAAAATAATTTGCAAATAAATAATAAGTCAGCGCACAATAACTCCAGTTTTTGCATTGTGTTTAAAAATGTTCAATTCAGCGCCAGAAAACTCAATTCAGCACAACTTTAAATAATGTTATTGTTATAGAAAATCAGAGCTTTTAAACATGAATTTAGCAACTATTTTTTTATATAAATTTGCATCATTTAATTTATTTCAAATATCTTGAATGTGGTGTAAACTAAGTTCCAACACTAAACTTATTTCTTATTTACTGTTTGACCAAAAAATATAATACAACTATTCTACTTAAAATCAGCTTATTGAACATAACAAAATATGAATGTAATAAGACTTGTTAGGATAAAAATATTTACTAAAAAGCTTTAAATTCTGTGGATAGGATTCGATTCAACTGCAAAGTGTTTCAATTCAGCGCATATATTTGAACGCTACGTATTACAATATAATAGTTGTTGCAAATTAACTTAAATGTGTTCAATCTGCTATTCAGCGGCCCATATTTCTATTCAGCACAATCTTGTTTAATGTTAATCATCTTATGCTTTTATTTTTTATACCGCTTACAACTTATTCCCCTACTCACCTTGTCATTCTTCACTTCTTCCAATTCCAACACTTCAGCGGACACTTTCTGCGCATGTCGATCCACGCCGGGGCTGAGTAACACCTCCCATGTGAGTGTCGGTTTAGGATTGCCACCTTCACTCACACAGGCCAAATTCAATTCAGAATTCTCTTTGACCGGTACAAAAATATTGCCTGCATCTAGGCGCCGTGAATCGATCAACAGATACGGTGGCTTGGGGCGATCTACAAGTAATTAATATGACACAAAATTAATTGAAGTTGAAATTTCAGTTTGAATGCGTTTTATAGCTAAAATAGTAAAAAAAGGGTTATCTGGAAATCAAAAGATCATTAAGAATATGAAATCAGAAAAAGAAAAGTTTTCGAGGAAAATCTTTTTTCGCTTTGCATGATAAGACTAGAAAATGAAACACTCATAAGTTACATTGAAGTAAACCTGCTGCAGTGGTTGTGCAACATTGATGCGCCCAAAAGTATGTCAACCATAAATTTTGCTGAGATAGCTGGGCCAAAGCTTCGGGTATAATTTTTGGTCATTTAAAAAGTTTTTATGGCTCACTTTTAATTTTATGTTTTTTTTTTTTTGCAACCCACAAGTTTCCAAACTTTAAGGGCATTTGGTGATGCCGTTTGTGCTGCTTTTGATTATTTGTTTTCCAGCTTTTGGAAGCGTGGATATGAGAGGGTATGAGTAGGCGCTTAATGCGGCTACTAAATCCAACCAGCCATTCATGGAGACACCCCTGATTTTTACCAACTCGTCTGAATGACTGCTCGGTACACAAACTGGAAAAACTTTTCATGCTTTTCTCTTTTTCCAGCCTCATTTTGCAACTTGTACTTGAACAAGAATAGTTTTCGCAACATGCCGGCACAGCGCGATTGTATTCGCAACAAAATGTGTATGGGTGCGCTTGTTGGCGGTGGCATGTCCTTTGCCGCGCTATGTGCGTCATTAACAACAACAGAAATCCTCGCCAGCACAAACGTTGACCGAACAGAAGTCAACACCAAGTGGCGCCAAAGTGCACGCTGTAGCCAACTTTTAATTTCAGGTCATTTCATTCAGCTACAGCAGCTAGCATGAGAGATTGAGGTCGGTTGGAGGCATATTTTCGAAGCAGAGCTAAAAATGTAGTGTATTCAGTGTGTTAATTGTCGTAGCTGAGCGTAGACTGGTCTATTTTCCAGAAACGGTTTATTTTCTATAACTATTTTAGGATGTACTGAATGCCTAAACTTTTATTATAATATTTAAATTTAAATTTCAGGACTATTCAGCGAATTCAAATAATTTTGTAATTACTTGGTTTAAAACTTCAAAAATCAAACTCAGAACAGTTCATGGGTTCAGTATACCATTCCCCTTTGTGTGAGTGTCCTTTCTAATAAAACATTTTCTGGTCATCGATTAATAATTTAAAAAATCTTAATATATTTCTTGCAAATGAAAATTGCAAACACATACATGTGTTATTATTATATTGGTTTAGAGAACTTTCGTTATTTCTTTCTCACAAAGAAAGTTTTTCACAAAGCATTATCGTTAGTCGCACTATATCAATACGAAGGATTAGGTGCGGAATGTCTTTTAAATAATACAAAATAAACAAATAAAGAAAAGTTTATTTCAAAATTGGACCCCAATATTATATGAAAATTAAGAAACTCAGTGGCCATGAAGGAATGCAGTGGGATGCCAACAATAAGTTTTGGCTACATTTTTCGAAATATGATTTTAAAATTATTAAATCTTTGTATTCAGTACATGATTTGCAAATTTCATTTCATTAGTTGAATTCAACAAATCTTATTGAGAAAAGTACAATTAGTTCATCGCAGCTGGCCTTAAAATTGCATAGTCAAAGCCGCGCGGATGGCTACTTGGTGGCTGTTATGTTGGTATTAGCGAAAACTTGTGCCTTTTTTCTAAGCTCTCTTCTTATAAAACACTTACACAGCACAAGTATTACTCAACTTGAGTTTCAGCTTATTTAGGATACTCAGTATCACCCTCTTTCCTACTCTCCCTTTTATAACGCAACATAATTCACTTTGATACTCACCTAATACTACCAATTTGACGGGTCTCGCATTCTCCGTGTATCTGCGCGAATTCTCCGCCTCACATTGCCACTTGCCATCATCCTCGAGCATGACATTTGTGATGGTGAGCGCACCATTTGGCTCTTTAATGAAACGATAATCGGTGGCGCGTGAGGTGCGATCCATGGCATGTACCACCTGCGGATTAAAGAGAAGAGAAAAAGTTGTGAGTAGAAGAAGAGACATATGAAATTGCATAAAACAAACGGTATAGCCGGTATAAGTGCCGGAATTAGTAAGTGCGTGAAAATTCTAGGCGTCTCACTATCACGTTGCCGATCGGCGCTGAGCACTTGTGTGCGTATGTGTATGCCGTGGTACGTGGGAAGCGTTTAATGCCGTAAAGTTTAAGTCATTTATGAGCTGCGTTAATACCGCTGTGTACACAATATTGCATTTGTTTGTGCTCGTGTTTTTGTAGCGCGACTTAGTCCTATCACTGTTTATTTGTTGCTTTAGTTTGGCTCATTTTCGTCCATTGTTATCTGTGTAACTGCAGTTGCTGGCGCTTGTTTTGCGAAAGTCTTTAGTTTATTGTGTGCAATTGCGCACTTTGCATAACTAAATAGTAATTACGGACGGTGGCATTAGTATTCCGCTCACAAGCGCCGAAAATTATGCAACGCATAATATTTTTGCAACTTTTTGGCTTAATTTAGTCTAGTATTTCCTGGCTCATTGAGTACTTTTAAGCCGTTTGATACAACAAAGCCAATAAGCTAGTGCTGGACTTAGTGTTGTTTAGTAAGCTCTTCTTAAATTTTATAACTTTTTGTACACGCCTGCATATTTGCCAGCAACTACTTAAGTGAGCTGAATAGCTGCTTTAGAAAATTTACGCCAGTGTTTAAGGATCAACTTTTTCTTGAAACTATTTGTTTTGACAATATTCGCTTGCAGAGGAAACATCTTATTAACAACCTGAGATTATTAAAAAAAATTAACTTTAAAATGACATTCAGCGCCACTTATCTAAGCCTTGGTGTGATATTTGTGCTGCAAGAATGTATCCCATTAAATTTAAAAGATATTCAGCGGCTTGAAATATAATTCAGCGCACTTTTTCTTGTGCAAACGTTACGCATACTTCATAAAAACGTTGTCTATAAGCTTTAGTAATAAGAAGTCTGCCATAAGCACTGTGATGTTCAATTCAGCCTAGCAACAAAGTTGGTAGTTGATTTTGTGAACAGGGTATATTAAGTTTGCCAGGAAGTTTGTGACGTCGGCTACCCTATAAGCCACATTCTAGTATTGTAGTACTATATTCAGCCCAACTCAGCACGTCTACTGTATTTGGTTGCCAATCTAAAACCTCTTCACATTTTAAACTTTTAAAAATTCTTAGACGTCCTAAAGCAAATTTCGTCAATTCAGAGCTCTTTGACGTCATGTTCTTCTAGAAAATCTACATAAATTTAATGTTTGCTCCAGATTTACTTTCTATATTTTTAAAAATTTTGCAAATATCCAAGTTTCAGCTGCCACTTTTCTCATTATCATTTTAGCCAAAATTTTAAATGGAAATTGCATTTGCCCGAAGCGTAAAATCCCTGCGCCTTTTGGAACTGTGAGCGCACATAAGCATGTAATCCACATACATGTGTGTGTTGGCCTATGGCGCTGAATTTTGATAAGCCGCATTAGCGCGAATCGAATTAAAAAGTAAATTAAATTCTATTTATTTTTAAATTTAAATTAAATAACTGAGTTAGATACAAGCTTTTGAAATGCCTGTACGGTTATTCCGACATATTTAAATATAATACAAGTTCTAAATATATGTGAATGGTAGTATGTTAAGATCTGTTCCTAAAAAATCGATGGGAAATTGTTTGAAGGTATATTAATGCTCTGGAATGTATAGTAACCATAACTGTACATTTAAATATATAAATAATTTGATATTGACTTTGGTTGTTTAAGGCAAAGTTACGCGTAGATGTTTCTCTATGTGTTACGTTACGTTACATTTCCTCCCAGCAAATTAACAAATTACATATAGAACAAGTAAGGAAGGGCTAAGTTCGGATGTAACCGAACATTTTATACTTTCGCAAAGTCAAATGGTATACTCGTTTGAGATTTCTTTGTGGATTGACTGATATTTTCGGTAGAAGGTCAACTATAGGCACTGGGGTCCACATATTTAGTACTTAGGGGTTTGAACAGTTTTGGTTCGATTTAGACAATTTTTGGCCGCAAGGTGGCATACTTTAATTTCATTATTCACGCAAAGTTTTACCCCGATATAATCATTGTTACCTGATTTGCATACTGGAAAGTGAAAACATCAGATGGAATTGAAAATGGTGTTCTATGGGAAATAGGCGTGGTTGTAGTTCCGATTTCGCCCATTTTCGCACTATAATATAGAGATATGAGAAGAATGTTATGTACCGAATTTGGTTGAAATCGGTTAAGCAGATCTCAAGATATGGGTTTTCACCTAAAAGTGGGCTGTGCCACGCCCACTGTCTAATTTTGAAGCTGGTTCCTATAAAGTCATCTGATACCATCACAGAGATAAAATTTAATGTCTGTGGTGTGTTTAGTGGCCCGATTACGCCCATCTGCAATAGCAAACGGTACCAAGAAACATGTCTACCAAGTTTCATAAAGATATATTAATTTTTACTCAAGTTAGAGCTTGGACGGACGGATGGACGGACGGACAGACAGTCACCCGGATTTCAACTCGTCTCTTCATCCTGATTTTTATATATTTATAACCCTTTATCTAACTCGATTAGTTTTAGGTGATACAAACAACCGTTGAGTAAACAAAACTATTATACTCTGTAGCAACAGGTTGCGAGAGTATAAAAACTAACTCAGCGCTATTCCGCGGCACTGCTCATAGCATTTTTATATAATTTGTTTCAATATTAGAAAGTTTTGCACAAAAATTATTTTAGCTACCATCATATTATGGTTGAAAGACATGTTGCTATTATTAGCTGCTAAACAAGATGGCCTCCAACGAAAAAAAATGTCTCTCAAAAAGCAGAGACAGTCCGATACGTCTTGCTGTATTGAAACGGAAGCGCAAATATATGCTTGTATGCATATCTGTGCGCACCATACATCCTGGTGGTAACGGCATATGGCACTTATAGCTGCCACACCACTCATTAATGCAAATGCCCATCAATGCGTTCATCTGGAAATTTATGAGTACTAAATGTGGCGGCAACAGCAACAGCGGCGCTAACTCTATTGGACCAGCAGCGCCGCCACATAGCATACAGCATATCACATTTGCCACAAGTGCAAATAACTTGCAACATGGGGCTAGCAAGCAAGTATTTCACGTTAGTATTTCTACCACAGTTTCATGTTGCATACTTTTAGGCTGGCTGGCCAAGCATGGCTATGTGTTGGTCTAGCGCTTACAGCTAAAACAATACCAACAAATACACTGTTCGTGCAATACGTGATGTTGCGTAGAGTCCAGTGCCTAAATTTATGTGTTATTAAATTTGTTGACATTTCGCGTTTCGCCTGGTTGTTGATGCAACAGAGTGAAATGTGGCAGCAAAGCGAAAAGAGTTCAATGCCTAAGGTATTTCAGCCGATCGAAGGGGTGTTGCGTTGCAAGTGTGGAGCTCAAATTGTTAGACGTCAGCTTTTTTCGGTATGCAGCACAGGCATAAGTAACTGTTTGAGTTGATGCGGTGTGTTGCATGTAAATTTATTGGCCGTTAGCCAGATGCTGTCAATTGGCAGCGCTGCAAAATTCACCTGCCACATGGTTAAAGCGTTAAATGAGCGTAGTAAATCGCTATTTACAAAAACAACAAACAACCGTTAGTTAGTGGAGCCATGTTGCATGTATGTGCCCAATGGCAGCACATGCCACATTTTTATGTGCAGTGATGTGTGCAGTAATGTTGCGGCAGATTGATTGCGTTTCACTTGGTGACAGCGCCGGGTTTTACTAGGCTATTGGTGGTAGCACTTCGGGCATATAGCATATTGGATGTGGATGCGGTTTGCGTTTTTCAGCGGATATTTTTCGAAAATAATAATATTAAAAAGAATTACGAAATACCAATCGCATACATGGCGCATGCGAGAGCGGTTTAACTGCAATGAAGCACACTTAATAATGAGCTTATCAGCATAATGAGATAGCTGTGGAGTGCAAGAGTATTAGTGCGAGCGTTTATATTAACGCGGACAAGTGTGCAACACGTTATGTCTGTTAAATAACCTTAAAACCAATTACTGTATTGATTTGCTAAAGTATATGGAATATTGAAATATGCTGTGGAAATGCAATTCAGCGCAAATCGATTATATTCAGTTCACAGCTTTACGGCAAGTCGTGATAACAAAACATTACGTAAACTAAATAGATTAACTCGTTTAGTCACTATTCAGCCGATTTTTAGTAAATTTAGCGCACATTTTCCTTACAAAAAAAATAACGTTTACAGTATAGTTAAAATTTCTTAATGCAGCTGGGCCATAATAACAATAAGCATGCTACACGAACAGCAGATATACACAAGAATTCAGATTTTTTAGGAAAGTAATATCTATTACGTAACATGGCTTATATATATATAATATATATATATATATTCTCAAATATTCGGTTCGGTTTTTTATTGATTTTTCAAAAGATGATAACTTTGTGTCCATTTGTCCGATTTAAGTCAAATATGCGCCATTTTGTTTGTAAATTTGGTGCCAACGAGATGCCAACTTCACTATACCCCTCTCGTAGAAGGCTGCGGCCCTATTGGCGAAAAACTCGGAGAGCCAATTTTCACAGGCCTCTTTTGATAATCACTTGGTGCCAGGTCCGGACTATGAGGTGGGTGGATTAGGACCTCCCATCCGAGCTCCCGGAGCTTCTGGCGCGTCACCAAAGACGTGTGTGGCCTAACGTTGTCCTGATGGAACACAATTCGGCCTCTGTTGATCAAAGATGGCCCCTTTTGGATGAGTGCTGCCTTCAAGCGGTCCAGTTGTTGGCAGTAGAGTGCCGAATTGAGTGTTTGACCATGTGGGAGCAGCTCGTAGTAGATGATTCTTTGCCCATCCCACCAAACACACAGCCAAACCTTCCTGGCCGTCAATTCGGTCTTGGCCACCATCTGGGCCGCTTCCCTGAGCTTTGACCACGA